GGTTCCGGGCCGAAAACCGGATTTTCCGGGCCGGTTCCGGTTCGGGCCGGGTTCGGTCCGGGTCCGGGCCGGTTCGACCCGTGGGCATGTCTATTAAATTATATACAGAGGGGATGACCTGTTTTTGCTTGCCATTGCTCTATATGACCTGTTTTTCCACTGGTTATTGTAAATTTTCAGCCGTGTCGGATTTAAACCTTCTCCAATTTTCCAAAATTCGCCATTGATAAGATTGCTATAAACAAAGTAAACAACACAATGCTAAAAACAGGGACAACAAATTCATCAACCTTCAGTCCCAACAAAAACACAGTTCTTAGGTTTCACACAAACATGGCTCGAAAGGTAAACTGTAAATCCTCCCTGCAGTGAAGTGTAGCTGATACAGTACAAAGACATAAATAAAACAAACACACAGCTGCATGAAATCCTCACAAGAACTTGGGTTTTGAGAAATTTAACCATAAAGAATATTAATTACCTAAACAAAAATCGCAAGCTCAAGAAAAAAAAAAAATACTAAAATCTTAGGCAACTGAGCAAATACCTGATGAGTGCTGATTAGTGCAGACAGTTCTTCACGTTTCCTTTTCTTTTTTGGTTTTACCTTCTCATTGAGTCATTTCACCTTTCTTTTTCTTTCTTGCATAAACAGTATACTCGAAGAACTGAACTTCCAAGTCCTATTTGTTGAGACAACTTATTTGAACAAATTGATAGATATGAACTCATTACAACTGCAAATAAATTTCCCAAAAACTTGGGCACACATACATACTCACACGAAGTAATCACAGCTTATTAGAACAAAAATTGATATATATGAACTCATCACAACTGCAAATAAATTTCCCAAAAAACTCCACTAGCAGGTAAAAAAGAAGCAAGATGCCGTAAAATTCAAAAAATGGGCAATAACCAAGCCACCCGAAATTCAACCAAAATAGCAGCAAAAATCACAACAATCACCTTATCGAGACAGACCAGATGTTAAACAAGCCCTTTTATCATTATTCCAAATAAAAATGGAGTCTTGATATTNCTAACACTCGTCAAAGAGATTATTTGTGTTCATTCAACAGCCTTATGTACCACCATCGTCGATTCTCCATTGAGCTGCTGCTCCTTCACAATCGTCGATTTTCTCTCAAATTCCTTCCATTTGTTGATTCCCACAGTGCACAAAACTTGTACCCGAAAAAATTAAAGAAATAGCGCAATGTTAGGTAGGGTTTAAAAGTGAAAGTGGGATCGATAGCTTACAGAGAGGACAGTGCCGCTTTATGTACCTCCGGCGCCGACGAAGTATAGAAGTCGGGCGAGTTTGGGGCCCACCTCCTCGCCGGCGGGGACTGGTATGGGTTTCATTTCTTCGGTCTTGCGGAGGATTTGATTGAACAATTGAACAGTGTAATAGCAAAATAAGGAGAAAATGAAATTTAAATTTTGGAATGTATAAGTTCACTTCATATTTTACCAATTATATAGTATTTTGTTTAGTANCTTTGGCAAACCTAAATATTTTTGCAACCTTTAATGCATTTGATAGTACATGTGTGTGATTTTATTGTCCAGGTGCAAATCATGAATTCTTTAAAAAGTAATGAAATAAAAAAATAAAAAATAATAAAAAATTGTCAAAACATATATATACCTATATTTATGTGTGTTGTAAAAGTAAAAACATGCATAAATTGCAACAACAAAAAAATCCAAATTAAAATAAAGCTAGGAAGAAATGGGTAATCTTTTACCATTATTGTATTATGAATTATTAATAATAATTATGCGATTGAATATAATGAAAAACTGCCGATGTTTTGTAGGATAATTTCTTCACTGAAATTTTGGTTGCATATAAATAAAGATTCAAAAACTATCCATTCCAATTTTTCTCAATATGATCAACAAAACCTTAATATAGTTTCAATCATTACTATTTAACAGAAGTAAAATTGTTTCCACTGAAAATTAATTAACAACTAAACGAAAAAATTTCAGCAACATCATGAATTGGGAACACAAAAACACATAAAATGAATAACACAATAAATGAATTCTAAGCAATTTCAGGCAACTTAGAATTTAATTCTTGGAAATTAATTGTTAAATATGGAATTTCACTTCTGATATTAGTTTAACTTTTAGCTAATTGCAGCAGAAAAGGGCAGATTAAAAGAAAAAAAATGAACCAAGCCATTCAAGAAAAAAAGTCACCACTGGCACACAGCAATCTTTCTACAAAATTTCAGCCACATCAGCCTGACTTCCAAATAATAATAATAATAATAATAATGATGATAATAATAATAATAATAATAATAATAATAATAATAATAATAATAATAATAATAATAATNNNCA